TAATTGATTGATTGTTGAAGTAACTCTGAATTGAACTGGTTTCAACTGTCTTGTACTACGGTGAACAAGATAATTTATTAGTTAGATTTGTGACGTATTTTGGCAAAGTTCACTTTCTTATGTTAACAATTCATAATAGAAATTATTACCATTATTTGTGTTTCTCAAGAGAATCGTGATTATCATCTTCAAACATTTAGAAAGTCTGGACATTATCTATTATGTTAATTGCAATTTTATCTAATATTAATAATGGTAACTATGAAATACAGTAAATAATTGTCTACTCATTTCCTCACCAATATTTAACAACGATTTGATAAATTATTAAAGTTATGCATACAGAGTGTTATAATTGTTATGGGTAGGTACATGGCTGCCATTTAAAGTAACCTTTTTTTTTTTATCTTTGAACACTCTGTATAGGAAATCAGTTTTGTATCAGACAGACGATCTTGTATTAGAATAGGGAACACGTTTTGTCTCAAAAACTTTCCGATTAAACTAACAGTTTAACCGCAATGAGCATATTGCGTACTTTTTGTGTCACCCTGTATATCTCTTTGCTAATGAAAATACTATTAAAAATTGTCATCTGTCAGCAGCTCAGTCCCAATCAACAAGACACTATCTCGTTTCAGTTTATCACAAAATACAATCTATGTCAAATTACAACAAACAGCGGGGTAAACGCCAGCTTTAGTAAGTATATTCCTACCTAAAGTGGAATTAAAAATTTTTCAACAAGATCCGTAAGGATATTGACTGAATCCACGATGTAGCTAACTCTATGTATTAGGCACGTAACCAAACGGCCGATTTCCTTACAGACCTTGCAGAACATCTTTGAATTCCACTAAAGGTAGCAATATACTACAGATGGCGTATACCACGCCGTTTTGTAGTAATTCGTGGAACGTTGTCTTTAGGTAGCAGATAGAGAGGACCTGTTTTCTACATATCGAGGCGAACCTTCGACTCGATTACAACAGCGACCAACCAGCCTAGCAACCGTTAACTCTGCAACCGCACTCTACAGCCGAACGACCAGCAACCTTCGAGTTGTAATATTTACTGCAGGTATTATACCTATTGCCCAGCTGTTTATTAGGTAAGTTTTCAGCCAATTTAAATTTCCATAACTAACCAAACAGTTCTTTGGGACGGAGTACGCAAAGTCTCTCTGAACTCCCCCAAATTTATATACTAACCTAACCCAACTTTCTCCTTTTCTTTCCTGCATACAATACGACCCACAGGAGTAGTTTTCGCTCTATTTCGTAAGCCATTCTAGAAATGGCTACCCCCAAGAGCCCCACTCTCTTGGAAGGACTTTCCCTTGCGGAAGCTGTAACTTTGGCGAGCGAGCTTCGGTCCAAAATAGCCATATTAAGGGAATTTATCCGTCAGCACCCCGACAACGCAACTTCATCTCCCATGTGCCACGACACACTATCTGACACTTCTTCTATCGCCCATAACTCCCAGACTCAGTCCCAATCAGAACCACCTTCTGTTACCGCTGATGGCGTCAAAAATCCCACGCTTTCAAACGGGATTACCAGCACCACCGAACACTCCACGACCACCCGGCCTACGTCCATCCCAGAAGAAAACCTCCCCGCTTTTAATTTTTATTAATAATTATTTAAAAGACACTAAATATGAAATGTAGAAATTGTATGAAATTCTTATATTGTACTAGGAAATGTATAAAACTAATGCTTTCTGTGAATAAAATACACGGGCAAAACATTGAATAAACCCCAATCTTTCATAAATCTACCTAACCAAACAATGACGTCACCAATGCATATGAATTTATAGTATGTTGTAGAGGTGCATATTCTGATCACTTTGATATTTTGGACGCGGAAATGATAATGACTTGGTGGCCTATGACATAAAATAGGCAATAATACGACAGGCTGTTTGCAGATGTATATCCACTGATGACGTCATTGTTTAGTTACGTAGATTTATGACAGACTAGAGTTTATTTAACGTCCCTGCCCTACTGATATGTTAGAGTATTTTATTCACAGAAAGCATTAGTTTTATACATTTCCTAGTACAATATCAGAATTTCATACAATTTTTGAGAAATGTATACATTTCCCAGGATATGTGTCTATTAAAAAATTGATGAAGCAATATTTTATACACTTCGTAAATAGCCTCGAAATTATATACATTTCCTAGGAATTGTATACAATTACTACATTTCATACATTTCCGGTAACATATCCATATTGTAGAAATAAAGTATTTCGATCGAAAATTCAATTTTTTAAAAAGCAGTAGTCTTGTAAAAATCTTCGTTTTTGAGTTATTTGGGGAAAACTGAAACGGGTGCCTTTTTAAGGTTACTCAAAAACGCACCCCTTAAAAAAGGGGCATCACCTTTACAGGTCAAACTACCATTTTCAATCATAAAACCTCTTTAACGCAATTGCTCCATACTAAAATCTCTATTCTAGTCTATTATTTATTGATTATTTTATCATAATCATAAATAATCATAAATTATTTGTTATTTCGAAATACCTAGTTCTTGTGTTTACTTTTTTTCGTGAATAAGAATACGTCAGTATTGTTGTACTGTTACAATTTTTGTCGCTAGTTATACATACCGGGTGGCCCAAAAAGTACGCAATATACTCATTGCGGAAGTTTAACCGAAAAAGTTTTTTTTGAACAAAAACTTTTTCTTATTTTAACGCAAGATCGTTTGTATTATTAACATTTGAGTATAGCCGCGATATTTTGTAAAGTGCCAAATTTTGGCATTCTGAACAAATTTTTCCTATAACATTTTTCGATTGGAGCTATTGTAATGGACTTCTGGTTATCAGCAGAGAATTGAAACTGTTGTTGGTAGCACTACTTTATTTATTTTCTTTACAGTTATTTCTTAACACTAACTTAAAATCGAAGTTACCAATAATTATTAATTTAGTATAACTTGATGTAGTAGAAGATTTAGTAAAATTGATAATATAGAAGATTTAGTAATTGATTGATTGTTGAAGTAACTCTGAATTGAACTGGTTTCAACTGTGTTTCGACTATGTTTCGACTATGTTTCGACTATGTTTCGACTATCTTGTACTACGTTGAACAAGATTATTTATTAGTTAGATTTGTGACGTATTTTGGCAAAGTTCACTTTCTTATGTTAACAATTCATAATAGAAATTATTACCATTATTTGTGTTTCTCAAGAGAATCGTGATTATCATCTTCAAACATTTAGAAAGTCTGGACATTATCTATTATGTTAATTGCAATTTTATCTAATATTAATAATGGTAACTATGAAATACAGTAAATAATTGTCTACTCATTTCCTCACCAATATTTAACAACGATTTGATAAATTATTAAAGTTATGCATACAGAGTGTTATAATTGTTATGGGTAGGTACATGGCTGCCATTTAAAGTAACCTTTTTTTTTTTATCTTTGAACACTCTGTATAGGAAATCAGTTTTGTATCAGACAGACGATCTTGTATTAGAATAGGGAACACGTTTTGTCTCAAAAACTTTCCGATTAAACTAACAGTTTAACCGCAATGAGCATATTGCGTACTTTTTGTGTCACCCTGTATATCTCTTTGCTAATGAAAATACTATTAAAAATTGTCATCTGTCAGCAGCTCAGTCCCAATCAACAAGACACTATCTCGTTTCAGTTTATCACAAAATACAATCTATGTCAAATTACAACAAACAGCGGGGTAAACGCCAGCTTTAGTAAGTATATTCCTACCTAAAGTGGAATTAAAAATTTTTCAACAAGATCCGTAAGGATATTGACTGAATCCACGATGTAGCTAACTCTATGTATTAGGCACGTAACCAAACGGCCGATTTCCTTACAGACCTTGCAGAACATCTTTGAATTCCACTAAAGGTAGCAATATACTACAGATGGCGTATACCACGCCGTTTTGTAGTAATTCGTGGAACGTTGTCTTTAGGTAGCAGATAGAGAGGACCTGTTTTCTACATATCGAGGCGAACCTTCGACTCGATTACAACAGCGACCAACCAGCCTAGCAACCGTTAACTCTGCAACCGCACTCTACAGCCGAACGACCAGCAACCTTCGAGTTGTAATATTTACTGCAGGTATTATACCTATTGCCCAGCTGTTTATTAGGTAAGTTTTCAGCCAATTTAAATTTCCATAACTAACCAAACAGTTCTTTGGGACGGAGTACGCAAAGTCTCTCTGAACTCCCCCAAATTTATATACTAACCTAACCCAACTTTCTCCTTTTCTTTCCTGCATACAATACGACCCACAGGAGTAGTTTTCGCTCTATTTCGTAAGCCATTCTAGAAATGGCTACCCCCAAGAGCCCCACTCTCTTGGAAGGACTTTCCCTTGCGGAAGCTGTAACTTTGGCGAGCGAGCTTCGGTCCAAAATAGCCATATTAAGGGAATTTATCCGTCAGCACCCCGACAACGCAACTTCATCTCCCATGTGCCACGACACACTATCTGACACTTCTTCTATCGCCCATAACTCCCAGACTCAGTCCCAATCAGAACCACCTTCTGTTACCGCTGATGGCGTCAAAAATCCCACGCTTTCAAACGGGATTACCAGCACCACCGAACACTCCACGACCACCCGGCCTACGTCCATCCCAGAAGAAAACCTCCCCGCAGACATTCTAGCCCTCCTTAAGAGGAAAAACAGAGCCCGCCGCCTGTGGCAAAGACACCGTGATCCCGCACATCGTGCCGAGATAAACGCCCTCCAGCGAGAACTTAGAGCTCGCCTCACAGTATTCCGCAGCGCCTGTTTCGACGAATGCATCGCCCAGGCAGAAATACCCCCGAAAAGCACTTGCCAATGATCCGCTCTCTCTGGAACAGAGCCCTCCACTTCTCTATGGTCTGGAAAGAAGCCACAGTCATTTTTGTCTCCCAAAAAAAAGGTCCCTTGGCAATCCCTCAAGTTACAGGCCCATCAATCAGTTCACTAAGCAAAGTAGTGGAATCCATCCTTCTAGAAATGCTTCTTGACCATGTAGAGTAAAACAATTTCTTTCCCAATTTCCAACACGGCTTCCATAGACACCACGGCACCGGCCAACAACTTTGTGTTGCTGAATACATTTCGATAACCTTAACAATCGCCTTCACACGTCCACGCTTTTACTTGACAACCAACAAGGCTTTCGATTGAGTCTGGCACGAAGGTCCCATTTCCAAAGTCGCCCTCAAAACCCCACACTTTCTTATCGGAGTTATTAGACCCTTTCTTTCTGACAGAACCCTTCGTGTCCACGTTGGCTCTGCCTTATCCCCCAACAAATCCGTCATGGCCGGCGCCTCCAAGGCTCCACGCTGTCGTCCATCTCTTCTGTGCAGACTTGCCGTGTTACCCTTCAATTCTCACACCCCTAAACCAAACGACCGTTTTAGAAGACCCGGACACCTCTCCTGAGCTGCTCATCATTTGCTCAACTATTTCAAAAATTAGTTTCGCTCTTTAGTGCGAGTGCCCACCCATCTCATTCCTCCCCAAAAAACTCTTCTCCCTACTCAATCCTCTCCCCTTTCCCAACCTTCCCTGGGATGTATAACCTTCGGGTTGATCTCCCTACTCGAGGAGGGGTTTTAGTCGGTAGGCGCTTCGGCGAATCCGACACTACCTCCCTTCAAGAGGTGTCTTTTGAAGATTTCCCCTCCTCGAGGAAAAACTAAATAATAAAAAATAAATAAAAATCGAATGGAGTTGTACAAGTTAGAGAGTTCGAAGTCATACAAAGCGACGAAGGAGGAGCGAAGAAGTGACAAAGTGTTCATAGTAGTGAATTGATAATTAATTAATAGTAAAAGTCTTAATTGGGTCATTGTCAAATTTTGCGCAGGTAAACGAGTCCCTCAACATTATTTATTTTTTTGTTATTAATAATGTCAAAATCCTTAACGAATNCGACGAATGCATCGCCCAGGCAGAAATACCCCCGAAAAGCACTTGCCAATGATCCGCTCTCTCTGGAACAGAGCCCTCCACTTCTCTATGGTCTGGAAAGAAGCCACAGTCATTTTTGTCTCCCAAAAAAAAGGTCCCTTGGCAATCCCTCAAGTTACAGGCCCATCAATCAGTTCACTAAGCAAAGTAGTGGAATCCATCCTTCTAGAAATGCTTCTTGACCATGTAGAGTAAAACAATTTCTTTCCCAATTTCCAACACGGCTTCCATAGACACCACGGCACCGGCCAACAACTTTGTGTTGCTGAATACATTTCGATAACCTTAACAATCGCCTTCACACGTCCACGCTTTTACTTGACAACCAACAAGGCTTTCGATTGAGTCTGGCACGAAGGTCCCATTTCCAAAGTCGCCCTCAAAACCCCACACTTTCTTATCGGAGTTATTAGACCCTTTCTTTCTGACAGAACCCTTCGTGTCCACGTTGGCTCTGCCTTATCCCCCAACAAATCCGTCATGGCCGGCGCCTCCAAGGCTCCACGCTGTCGTCCATCTCTTCTGTGCAGACTTGCCGTGTTACCCTTCAATTCTCACACCCCTAAACCAAACGACCGTTTTAGAAGACCCGGACACCTCTCCTGAGCTGCTCATCATTTGCTCAACTATTTCAAAAATTAGT